TTAAAAAAACCACAATTATTTTTTTTTTCATCCACTTGAACCTTTTCAGATTGCTGTTTTTGCGATTCATTTTTTTTCCTTTCGTAATAAATTTTAAATAGAAGCAATGATGAGTAATTTCTACTATCTACACGCTGTCATTTTTAGGAGAATTTCTAATCAAGAGAGTACAAGTTGTACATTCCATGTATTAATATATTTAAAAAAAAATAATAATATAGTTTAACAAAGCTCAAAAGTTTAGGTAAATTATTAATTTTTATCTGCTCCTTCATGGTCCAACACGGTATCCAAACTGAGGACAGTTAAGACAGGAAAAAAAAAAAATTTTAGTATAAGATGGGAATCATAGTCATATTTTTTGGGAATTGCGCAGATTGAACAACATCACACGTCAACTCCCAGTTCATATATATAGTGTGATGTAGAAAAAATGAAAACAGTATTATTTAAAATAAAAAAACTTTATTAATTTATTTATTCTGCTTTCTTTTCATTCTGTGTATCCTCTTTAACCTCTTTTCTATCGTCATCATCATCATCATCATCTTCTTCTTCCTCTACCACGTCTTGGGATTGCTGCGACTCTGGTGTTTCTTGCGATACTTCCATTGCTTCTGGAACCAAATTTTCAATGGGAGAGATGACCGATTCTTTTTGAACATCACCCACGGAATTGTTATCCAAAGGCATTTCCTCAGTCTTATCATCTGCTGCTGATTTTTGGACTACTGGTTTTTCATCCATATCATCATCGGAATCACCTGCTCCAGGATGATCGTAGTACGGATCTGTTGACTCCGTGACATCGACGCTTGTCGTTGGCCATATTTGTTGTGGAACATCCTGCAAATTTTAAAACCATTTACAATAATTAAAAATGTGGAAGTAAAAAAATTTCCAAGTATTTGAAAATCCAACTACCTTCATGTTGACTTTTGTGAGATAGAAATCATAGACAAATTTGGCCATGTGCGGCATATCTATAATTTCCATGGGTGTTTCTGAGGGCTCTTGATCATTCGGCCTCGTTGTTGGGTACGATTCCGTAGGAATGATTTTGAGATTGAGCGGCCGTCGCATCAGTTTGTCGAATGCTGGTGTGAGCTCGAAGCAATTTTGGAAAAGCGAAATTCTGGCAAACACGTAGAGCCCGAGACGAGCTCGAGACATTGCTACAACTAGACGTCGAGCGTCTCTCAAGTGACCAACTGCTCTGGTTTTGACGAGGGACAAAAGAATGTAGTCATTTTGTTGACCCTGGTACTTGTCGACTGTTGTGACTTTGGCGGGTCGGCCTATCAGTGGATTATTGGCACATCTGATGTTTATAACATCCCGAATCAAATGTTTCTGACCATTATACGTAGTGAGTATACTGATTTTGTCTGCTGGATAACCGAGGAGTCGCATGTACATGAACACGGCAACGCAGTACTCTGCTTCGGCCAAATTCTGATAGAAGTAAGCGCTAGGCTCGCTCTCGCCCACTCCGTTAAAGTCCTCAACGTTAATGAGCTGAAAATCGTACAGAAAACCGGCATTGGCTATCAAATATTCGGGGCTATCTTCCACGTGCTGGAGGTTGCCGAGTTTCTTGTACCGCCAGTTGTACAGATTACAGATACTCGGCCTGGCACGACCTTGTCCATCAAGATCGACAGTGGGTACATTTAAACGCACAAAACGAGCAAACAACGATTGCTCCATGTTAGAGTACTTTTGGAAGGCCATGTTCTTAATGACTGGAGGCAACTGATGGTGATCTCCGATCATAATCCAGCGCTTCAGGCGATTGAAACCGTCCTGTGGATTCTGAAGGAGCAAAGGAATAAATGTTTCGATTTCTAGGATCTGGGCAGATTCTTCCATGAGAATGTTGTCGTACTTGAATCCCATGTCTACCAGCTCCCGGCGCTTCAAGGCTGCATGAGTACAAGTCATGGCAATGACTTTTGCTTCTTTCACAAGAAGATACTTAGATCGATCGAGTCCTGACCTCAGCAACTCAAATGCTCTGAATTCTTCCAACTGAGTAAATATCCTTTCGATATATCTGAAAAAAATAAATAAATGAATAAATTGACCAATAAAATTAAATTTCTTTTTTTATTTTTTTCACAAAAATTAGTCTAAAAAAGCACCTGTAACAACTTTCTGCGATCGCCAAATCTTCTTCATAAGAGCTTTGTTTAAATAGAGGCTGTGGTGCGTTATCGAAAAATCTATGGAACGGGAACTCGTCACTGACAGCTGAAGCAGGTACGTTGTCAATTTCTTGACTTCCGACTTTTTGCTTTATTTTCGATTGAAAACGCTCCCACCTCGTCATTATTTGGTATGTGAAAAAGTAACCCGCTGTTTCGCAGGTGTACGCTACATCTCCCTGAACTCCGAGGGATTCCTACAATTTCAAGAACATTGTTAAGTCATCTCTAGTTCAGGAATCCAGATTTGTTGAATAAGTAAAAGTAAATTATTTACCTGTAGCCTTTGCACTTCTTGTAATAAATCTAGACGTTTGGCAAGAACATAATTGACCCTACCATATCTACTGAAATCCTTTTCAGTTTCCAGGGCTTCCTCACCATGACCAAGACGCAACAAGTGTCTTTCATCGATGTCAAGCGCCATGATTTTTTCAAAGAGCTGATTGAGCGCCTGATTGGAATGCGTTACGATGAGCGTCCTTTGGTTGGGGAAGTTGTGATAAAGATTCGAGATGATTTGCACAGCCACGTCGGTCTTACCCGTACCAGGCGGACCCACAACTAACGTCAAGCCTGGCTGCATTCCCGCACGAATGGCTTCTACTTGCGTTGGCGTGAACGGAATTTGATTTCTGCAAATAAAAATTGTTAAATTTGTTGTTTGTTGGAAAAAAATATATCGTAATTCATATAAAGTAAAATATAAAAAAAAAAAATACTTTTTGGGTTCATTGGCTTTAAAAGGTCCGCGGCTGGGCAGAACATGTGGTGTAACACGTATGACTTTACGTGGTTCCTCTCTCTTTCTTTTGCAAATGACATCTTCGAATGTGAGTAAAAAGGGGCTGACAAGTTTTTCCGGAGGATGATCAGTTACAATTTCGTAATCAGGAAAACTTGCGCGTAAATGATCAATGTCTAAAAATGTGTCGTTAAAATCCACCGTATCCAGCTCATTCTCCATTCTGGAATATTGGGCAGCACTGGGATCTCCGTAGCCAAGAATAATATCATGGAGCCATTCAGGTACAACGCACTCGGTATTCATAAGCTCGCGAATCGTCTCGAGCACAGCTTTAAAGTTGTTCTCTTTGGGTTTACGTCGCATGATGATATTGAAGCTACCATAGACATCCTCATCATCGTCATTTGCATTATCTATGAAATACTGATTGGAATCCAGCCAGACACGGTAGGTACGCGTATCCCCTGGTAAAATTGGTCTCGGTTCGGGACCATCTTCTATCACTCGGCCATTTGAATCCAACATGCCCTCTACCTCACAACCTCGCACTGTTGTCAAACCAACTTGGGGTACAAATGGCAGTTTATGGTTGTACTTGGTGCCTGTAACAGAATCAAATGTTAGTAGAACTGCAGAGATGTTATTCCATAAAAAAGCAATTAGTTATCCGCTTCATCGTTTCCCAAAGTCATTAATTACTGCATGTATAATGATAGATGGAAAGATACATTGATGCATACTCGGTAAGTGAAGAAAAAATTCATTTAAAAAAGTTCTTAATGTAAAGAAAATCACCCGGAATTCGATTAAAACAAGTATCTGGATAGTTTACGTAATGAATGTTTCATGTTAATAAAGATCGATTGTTGATCTAAATAACACTATTTAGAGTCTGTATCAGAGTTATTCAGCCAATTGGAGCTACCGGTGAAAAAATGTATAGTGCAATTTAAAAAATTCTCATCTCATTGGTCAAAGAATGAAGGTAAACAAAAAAAAGGAAACAAATTTGGCACATGAAATCAATGCTATTCCCACACCGACCTATCGTATTTTGCGGCTTGACGGTTATTAAGAAGCAGACGTCATGCTTTCTGAGGTTCTCCCACTCAGATTTGATTTCTTTTCTCACGTTGAGGTTGACGGTAATTTCAGCGCGCACGCGGGGCGATCTTCTCTCGCATATGTGCGGCTGGATGACCTCCACCACCGCGAACTGCGTAATCGGCTGTGCCATTCGCGCCCAGCCGCCAAAGTACACTTCACCATCCTCGGCTCGCCTGTTTCAACAAAATTACAAAATAAGAAAAACTCGTTGTGTTTTGAAAGCTAACGTCACTCGTGATAAAAGAGTAAGCAGACGTAACTCACCAGGGGCTGAGTCGGCTAACCGCATCTTCGATATCCTGTCGGATCTCGTCTGTTCGGGAGAAAACAAAGAGATGAATCAATATAATTTTTTTTTCACCGGCTTAAAAAACCACGATTACAAAATAAACATGTTTTTCTGCAAACTTTGTTATGTTTTAAAATAAATTTCCAATTGGTTACGAAATTCTTGATTATATGCGTGCTTTTGTGAATTTAAATAATAACGAGGCAAACGGAAACGCGAATGAAATAAAGTCGCCGAAGAGTGTTTATTACCGATGATTCATTCTAGGTAATTTATGCGAATGTATTGGGTACGATATTTCTTACGCGATAAAGAGGCTACACTTTTTTTCCAACTCATGTTTTATTTACAATTGTAAAACGAGTGCATACTCCAGAAGAGATAATACAACAGAGCTCGAGAAACGTCTCACAAATGAAGCGAAGAAAGACTACTTTTTACACAATTCATCTCCGGCTGCATAATAATAGAGTCTCGAAAGCATTTGTTTTTTTTTTTGTGAGGGAAAAGAATTGTTAAAAAAAAAAAAAAAAAAAAAAAACGGAAGGACGTCAGAGCGGACTTTGCGAATCGTAATTATACAATTTGTGCGTCACTCACACGTGGACTCCAACCGGAACAGATTAAAGTTTCTGAGAAGATAATCGTGGAGCGTCAGGAACTGCAAATTAAGTTTGGGCAGGGCGAGACAACCCTCGCCCGAGAAGTACTCGGTGGGCACGATGCTCTCGTTCCAGATGATATCCTCTGTAGGGTAAAGCGGCATCTCGTTCAACTTCTCCAGCTGCGACGCTCGCCTCTCGTGTCTCGATATCTGTTGTTTTGCTAGTAGTTAATTATCGATTCGATTCCGATAGAGTTTTGAGCGGCAAATTGTACTCACGAGCAACTCGCGCAGGAAGTCCATGTCCAGCCTGTACCAGTTCTCATAGCTCTCGCGCTCCTTCGGCGGTACCAGGTTCAAGTAGCTCGCGATAGCTTTCAGTTTCTCCTGGCTAAAAATAAAAATAAACCGCACGAGTGTCACAAAATTCGACATTTACACGCTGTATGCACAACCAATGGGTCTCACCTGAGGGGGCCAAAGTGATTGTTGAGGGAGTCCCGGGTGTCGACGCTGGCCACGTTTGCGAGCGCAAACGAACGTAGATCGGGGAATTTGGCGAACGCAGCTTTCTGCAGTGACGTTATTTTCGAGTAGTGGAGCTGCGTCATGTCGTGGTCGGTCAGGGGATCTCCGGTCTCTTCGCTAATCTCGAATCTGGCGTAGAACTTTAGCATCTCGAGCAACTGAAAATAAAAAAAATTTTAGTCCATGAGCATCTATATGCTTGATTGTTTTCTTTTCCTTTTATCAAGGAGATATGCGATGAATGGTACGTTTTTGGTAAAAAAACGCTGTTCTTCTTGCGAGAATATAATGTACATATACCATTTGTTTAAGATTTATTTATGAAACATTACATCGTGAACGAAAGTTGATTGAGAAATTTTACGTTTATTGTAGATCTAGGCTTTCAAAAATTGTGAATCGATCAATCACACAATCAACGACACCGACAGAACATAAACAATTATAATCGAAGGAGTTATTTACTTGAAAATTTCTGATAAATACATTTTTTCAGCCGATCGAGCGTCGATTAGAGAGTCAATGGATCGAAAAATTCCATACGATCGTAATATTTATAGAATAGCAGTGCCATTGCTTATACGAGGCTTTTAATAACACGAAAACCGTAATACATCGACAAACACAGTGGCGGTAGGTAATAACACTGTAAAAAAAGCATCAGTCAACCCGAGATTGCAGTAAAAATAAATATCTGATGAAAAAAAAATACCACCGGTGATTGTCGGTGGAGGAGGAATATCACTACCTATACAGTCCAAGATCGTCTATTAGCATCAATATCCATCACGGATAAGCGTGCGGCTGTTTTACGATGTTATCTGTTTGGAATCCTAATAACTCGCGCGGAAAATACGTTCGACGTGACATTATACCTGCGCGCGCAAAACAATGCCAGCTGGTAATCAAACGAAATGCTCTTTTGCAAATTTCTCTTCGTGCCTTCGAATAAATATAAATAAGCGCGTGTGTGGACGTGAGCAAAAAGTATACCTTTGCTTTTAAACGATTATAAAAGGAGTGGACGCCGAAGTAATTTGCGAATCGAATGCGCGCAAGAGTGGAATCGAGTTTATCGGCAATTGCAGTGCAAAACGCGCTACGTTTCGTCGCCGAGGCCTGAGTCATTAACGATTTATCGCTCTAACGATGAAAAACAAGATCTCCGGCTTTGGAAAAAAATGTACCGTACATTATTCATCGTAATCGCACCGCGTATAGGTACTTTGGGGTATTCTCCATTTTCAAGTACCAAATCGAAAGTACCCAACCGAAGCATCAGATCTAAGATGTTAATCATATTGCGACATCGCTTTTTACATGTATATATTATGTAATGAGTCTACACGTGTACGATAATAAACTTTTGCGGATTGGCGATAAAAAAGAGCATTGCGCGTAACTTGTGCTAATGCACTTAACAATTCAATATGCACCATTTGATAGACATTTTTCAATCTAGTTAGATTATCGCGAAAAATAAGAGATAATAAATACCGACGTGTATTCCTCCAATCTAAAATTTTTGTTGGAATGTGAAGGACATCGCAACCAATAACTCTTTATTTTGTTATACATAAGTCTTATAATAATTGTCGGATTAACTTTGATTTGAGAATTTTGCTGCTATTCTAATATCTATCATTATCATCATTTTGTTGTTAAAAATTTTTATAAAATTCACGATTATTTCGTTCCACCTACCGAAAACAGTTGAAAAAATCACCAAATTTGCGGCATACCGCGGTATATTTATTGTTTTCGACCGAAAAACAATGAAAATTGTTCAACTAAAAATACAAAGTAATTGCTTACAGTTGTTCGAGTCCCAAAGTATTTTATTGCATAAGCGATGGAAAAAAATAGCATTACGTAAAATATGTTATTAGCAAAAGGGTGGAAGTTGAAAAAAAAAAAAAAAAAAATTAATGTTAAAAATAATTATAAGCACATAGTTTTGATGATTTGAATATTTTGAAAATGTCACGTTTTGATTTAAGTTAATACAGTCGAACAAAATACCACTTGTGCCGTCCGAATAAGTAGATCCCCCCAGCGCGAGAAGCGGCAATATAGTGGGGAAAAGTCCGCGTGTATAAGCGGCGGCGAGAGCTCTCTGGGCTCGTTTATTACCAACCCGAGCGCGCATCTCAAAGGTGTCTCGGTTCGCAACGTCCGCGACACATTGTACACCAAAAAGTTGCCTCGGCGTTTTTCTATTGTTTTCTTAATCACGGACTCTGGTGCAACTCGGGTTCTTTGTTCAAATTTTTTTTTCCTCTTGGCGAGACGGAGGCAGCTTGTCTCCGCTCGAGGCTTTAAGTAATAATAAAAGAACGGGGCCTGCTCTGTTCATTGACGTTGAAAGTGTGAGCAATCGAGTGTTTCCGGAGACAGTGTGGTGCTTGCAAGCTGATGGACTGAAGCTTTTCTGGGTCCGGAGTGACTGAAATTAAAATCGGCGGTACTTGCGTGTATTTTTGTGAACAGCGAGAGGAGATAACTTTTCGAAGCAATTAAGGCTCGAGGGATATTGTTACTTATCGGTTTAATATACGCGTTCGATACAAGGATATTTATCGCGTGGCTTTCAAGTGTCATCAATTTCGCTGAAGTATCGGCGAGAAATGACACAACACTAGGGATTGCCAAGACAATCGAGGGGCGCAGCAGAGAGAATTTGATTCCTATCAGATGTCGAGTCCACGAGGTATGCTACGTGATAAATTTCATCATTTTTCATCCGAAAACAATAAGTCATTGCCGAAACCCCGTCTAGTGCGAGTCGATATTGTCGTGTGTTCAAGGTACACGTCAAAGTGACGAAAGATTTTTACTTTCGAAAAGTTGTCGAGGTCGATCGGATACATTTAATTCGTCGCAAGATGTATATAAAACTAGGCCACGGCAAAGGGATTGAAAAAAAATAAACATCTTTCGAGTAAACCACCGAGATTGGCTACATTATTAACGAGAGCAAAAAGTATAATTACATCACTCACGTGTGACGCGACTTAGTTTCCCACACAACTCTTTTAAAACTTCCTTGAATCGTTGCCAAGCGAAAATAATTGATACGAAATTGTATTTTGTTAAAAATTAACTTTTTTCAAATATAGTTGGATCTTTACTATAAAATGATGATGTTATCACAGAAAAAGATGTTTTTACTGACTATTTTTACCGATTGACGAATTTGAGAACCAAAATCATTTGGTTTTTTTACCAAACGAAATATTTTCAAGGTTCACAACTTTTGTATAAAATATCAACTTACNAAAACAATGAAAATTGTTCAACTAAAAATACAAAGTAATTGCTTACAGTTGTTCGAGTCCCAAAGTATTTTATTGCATAAGCGATGGAAAAAAATAGCATTACGTAAAATATGTTATTAGCAAAAGGGTGGAAGTTGAAAAAAAAAAAAAAAAAAAATTGTTTACAATTTTGATTGATTGCAGGTGATCAACAACTTCCGCCCGCCGTTGCCGCTTGGTAATCGCGTGCTGCGGGAATGCGGTAGCTTCTAAATGTCATCGAGACCTTATAAATACATCGCAATAGGGCGAAAATCGCTTTTACTGCTGTATTACTGGAGGCGACTCAACATTGTCCAAGAGTCCCTGATTTTCCACTTTTTGCCGGCTATCACGGGGGTAGGGGGGAGGGGGCTGCAGGGGGATAAGGAGGGAGGGAGAGGAAGCAACGAATTCAGCCACATCGACATTTACACCTTTACCTAACTCTATAATTACGCATATAATTCATGTATTCGTGGCGCATCAGTGTGTCATCAGCAATTCAAATGGTAATACACCCTGGGAGATACAACACAATAGAACTCCACAGATAAACATGAGAGTTTGCTGCAGTTACGTAAAAGCCATACCTATAATACATACAATTACACAAAAATGTGCCTTTGGGTCTTTTTGATCGTATTACATACCGATGTTACGGATATGCATTCGTACGTACAGTATATATACATTTATTGAATTCAAATATGGAAAAGAAAATGAAATATCAAAATAATGACCGATCATGACTAAAAAGTGCAATGTACATGAATATAATATGTACGTCAATGTCAATAGAAGTATAGATGTGTATTTGCATGTGTGTAGATATTATATAGTAATCGTGATCTTGGGCTTTTGTAACTTTGTAACTCGGGAATTTGCTATGACATTTTATTATCAAATAATCAACTGCCTTACAAAACAAAATCCGTTATTCACGTAAAAAAAAAAAAAAAAAAAACAATGTGAAGATTTTTTAAATTTATTGTCTTAAATCAAAAAATTTTGGGCAATTTCTGCTTAATCTTTTCAACAAGTATATAGATAAAATTTTATACAAGTAAATTTTGCCATAGTGCCTGAATCTTTGAATTGAACAGAAATAAGTAATACAAAATCTGCAAAATACAGAGCGAAACGCAAAAAAATGTGTACTCGATGTATAATTACTTTTACTTCTTGTAATTGTATGCACGTAACGTAAATAATGAGAAACAATATATGATATTATATTAAAAAAAGGCTACCTCAAATAATCAAGCAAAAGTCTCGATGAAGCTCGTATGATAAAAGTGTATTAATTCATATAATCATCAGATACATGTTTTGTGTGAGGTGTGTAGCTACTAGTCTTCAGAAAATATTCATTCGTGGAATAAAATTTTTTTTTGTCAGTTGCATTGATTTTTCACGTATAAGCATTTTTTTTTTGCTCTTTGAAAAATAAGTGCAAATTTATTTCTTGTTTCGTGCATTTTTTTCCAAGGAAAAAATATAAATAAGCATCAACGTAAATTATTTTAGATTTAACTTTTTTTTTTTAATAAGAAATAAATTTTTCTTATCGATGCCTTTAAAATAAGTATCTGTTAACACGAAAAAAATTATACTTGCTATATTACGATCTGATGTGCTTGTTAAAATTAAAAATGTTTGCGACTGTATTTTGGAATCATGACTATCTGAAGATTCATGAAGCAAACACCAAATATCTCCTTGTAATGTAGTTAGTGTAAAACAATTGTATTTTGCATATTGCAATGCTTAGTGAAACTGTTATTTGTTTTTGTAGTCGTAGATGCTATTTAATGAAGAAAAATTATCGCGTTTTAGCGTCAGAGAACCTTAAAAGATTAATTTTATATTTATTTATAACTTATATTTCAAAAGGGTTCCGTAATAATTGTGCATTTTACGACTGAATCATGTTTCAAGAACTAAAAGCTGTTATTGCGAAAAGAATTTTATTATTTTGTTTTTTAAGTGGCGCATTCCTCGTTGTTTTCTATATGAGTGAATTCAAAAGCATTACATACATTTGTACCTTTAGATGGTATAGAGTAGAAGACTGCTGGTCGGCTTTGTATCTGTGTCGATTGTGATAGCGTGGAATAAATAAAAATAACATTAAAAAAACCACAATTATTTTTTTTTTCATCCACTTGAACCTTTTCAGATTGCTGTTTTTGCGATTCATTTTTTTTCCTTTCGTAATAAATTTTAAATAGAAGCAATGATGAGTAATTTCTACTATCTACACGCTGTCATTTTTAGGAGAATTTCTAATCAAGAGAGTACAAGTTGTACATTCCATGTATTAATATATTTAAAAAAAAATAATAATATAGTTTAACAAAGCTCAAAAGTTTAGGTAAATTATTAATTTTTATCTGCTCCTTCATGGTCCAACACGGTATCCAAACTGAGGACAGTTAAGACAGGAAAAAAAAAAAATTTTAGTATAAGATGGGAATCATAGTCATATTTTTTGGGAATTGCGCAGATTGAACAACATCACACGTCAACTCCCAGTTCATATATATAGTGTGATGTAGAAAAAATGAAAACAGTATTATTTAAAATAAAAAAACTTTATTAATTTATTTATTCTGCTTTCTTTTCATTCTGTGTATCCTCTTTAACCTCTTTTCTATCGTCATCATCATCATCATCATCTTCTTCTTCCTCTACCACGTCTTGGGATTGCTGCGACTCTGGTGTTTCTTGCGATACTTCCATTGCTTCTGGAACCAAATTTTCAATGGGAGAGATGACCGATTCTTTTTGAACATCACCCACGGAATTGTTATCCAAAGGCATTTCCTCAGTCTTATCATCTGCTGCTGATTTTTGGACTACTGGTTTTTCATCCATATCATCATCGGAATCACCTGCTCCAGGATGATCGTAGTACGGATCTGTTGACTCCGTGACATCGACGCTTGTCGTTGGCCATATTTGTTGTGGAACATCCTGCAAATTTTAAAACCATTTACAATAATTAAAAATGTGGAAGTAAAAAAATTTCCAAGTATTTGAAAATCCAACTACCTTCATGTTGACTTTTGTGAGATAGAAATCATAGACAAATTTGGCCATGTGCGGCATATCTATAATTTCCATGGGTGTTTCTGAGGGCTCTTGATCATTCGGCCTCGTTGTTGGGTACGATTCCGTAGGAATGATTTTGAGATTGAGCGGCCGTCGCATCAGTTTGTCGAATGCTGGTGTGAGCTCGAAGCAATTTTGGAAAAGCGAAATTCTGGCAAACACGTAGAGCCCGAGACGAGCTCGAGACATTGCTACAACTAGACGTCGAGCGTCTCTCAAGTGACCAACTGCTCTGGTTTTGACGAGGGACAAAAGAATGTAGTCATTTTGTTGACCCTGGTACTTGTCGACTGTTGTGACTTTGGCGGGTCGGCCTATCAGTGGATTATTGGCACATCTGATGTTTATAACATCCCGAATCAAATGTTTCTGACCATTATACGTAGTGAGTATACTGATTTTGTCTGCTGGATAACCGAGGAGTCGCATGTACATGAACACGGCAACGCAGTACTCTGCTTCGGCCAAATTCTGATAGAAGTAAGCGCTAGGCTCGCTCTCGCCCACTCCGTTAAAGTCCTCAACGTTAATGAGCTGAAAATCGTACAGAAAACCGGCATTGGCTATCAAATATTCGGGGCTATCTTCCACGTGCTGGAGGTTGCCGAGTTTCTTGTACCGCCAGTTGTACAGATTACAGATACTCGGCCTGGCACGACCTTGTCCATCAAGATCGACAGTGGGTACATTTAAACGCACAAAACGAGCAAACAACGATTGCTCCATGTTAGAGTACTTTTGGAAGGCCATGTTCTTAATGACTGGAGGCAACTGATGGTGATCTCCGATCATAATCCAGCGCTTCAGGCGATTGAAACCGTCCTGTGGATTCTGAAGGAGCAAAGGAATAAATGTTTCGATTTCTAGGATCTGGGCAGATTCTTCCATGAGAATGTTGTCGTACTTGAATCCCATGTCTACCAGCTCCCGGCGCTTCAAGGCTGCATGAGTACAAGTCATGGCAATGACTTTTGCTTCTTTCACAAGAAGATACTTAGATCGATCGAGTCCTGACCTCAGCAACTCAAATGCTCTGAATTCTTCCAACTGAGTAAATATCCTTTCGATATATCTGAAAAAAATAAATAAATGAATAAATTGACCAATAAAATTAAATTTCTTTTTTTATTTTTTTCACAAAAATTAGTCTAAAAAAGCACCTGTAACAACTTTCTGCGATCGCCAAATCTTCTTCATAAGAGCTTTGTTTAAATAGAGGCTGTGGTGCGTTATCGAAAAATCTATGGAACGGGAACTCGTCACTGACAGCTGAAGCAGGTACGTTGTCAATTTCTTGACTTCCGACTTTTTGCTTTATTTTCGATTGAAAACGCTCCCACCTCGTCATTATTTGGTATGTGAAAAAGTAACCCGCTGTTTCGCAGGTGTACGCTACATCTCCCTGAACTCCGAGGGATTCCTACAATTTCAAGAACATTGTTAAGTCATCTCTAGTTCAGGAATCCAGATTTGTTGAATAAGTAAAAGTAAATTATTTACCTGTAGCCTTTGCACTTCTTGTAATAAATCTAGACGTTTGGCAAGAACATAATTGACCCTACCATATCTACTGAAATCCTTTTCAGTTTCCAGGGCTTCCTCACCATGACCAAGACGCAACAAGTGTCTTTCATCGATGTCAAGCGCCATGATTTTTTCAAAGAGCTGATTGAGCGCCTGATTGGAATGCGTTACGATGAGCGTCCTTTGGTTGGGGAAGTTGTGATAAAGATTCGAGATGATTTGCACAGCCACGTCGGTCTTACCCGTACCAGGCGGACCCACAACTAACGTCAAGCCTGGCTGCATTCCCGCACGAATGGCTTCTACTTGCGTTGGCGTGAACGGAATTTGATTTCTGCAAATAAAAATTGTTAAATTTGTTGTTTGTTGGAAAAAAATATATCGTAATTCATATAAAGTAAAATATAAAAAAAAAAAATACTTTTTGGGTTCATTGGCTTTAAAAGGTCCGCGGCTGGGCAGAACATGTGGTGTAACACGTATGACTTTACGTGGTTCCTCTCTCTTTCTTTTGCAAATGACATCTTCGAATGTGAGTAAAAAGGGGCTGACAAGTTTTTCCGGAGGATGATCAGTTACAATTTCGTAATCAGGAAAACTTGCGCGTAAATGATCAATGTCTAAAAATGTGTCGTTAAAATCCACCGTATCCAGCTCATTCTCCATTCTGGAATATTGGGCAGCACTGGGATCTCCGTAGCCAAGAATAATATCATGGAGCCATTCAGGTACAACGCACTCGGTATTCATAAGCTCGCGAATCGTCTCGAGCACAGCTTTAAAGTTGTTCTCTTTGGGTTTACGTCGCATGATGATATTGAAGCTACCATAGACATCCTCATCATCGTCATTTGCATTATCTATGAAATACTGATTGGAATCCAGCCAGACACGGTAGGTACGCGTATCCCCTGGTAAAATTGGTCTCGGTTCGGGACCATCTTCTATCACTCGGCCATTTGAATCCAACATGCCCTCTACCTCACAACCTCGCACTGTTGTCAAACCAACTTGGGGTACAAATGGCAGTTTATGGTTGTACTTGGTGCCTGTAACAGAATCAAATGTTAGTAGAACTGCAGAGATGTTATTCCATAAAAAAGCAATTAGTTATCCGCTTCATCGTTTCCCAAAGTCATTAATTACTGCATGTATAATGATAGATGGAAAGATACATTGATGCATACTCGGTAAGTGAAGAAAAAATTCATTTAAAAAAGTTCTTAATGTAAAGAAAATCACCCGGAATTCGATTAAAACAAGTATCTGGATAGTTTACGTAATGAATGTTTCATGTTAATAAAGATCGATTGTTGATCTAAATAACACTATTTAGAGTCTGTATCAGAGTTATTCAGCCAATTGGAGCTACCGGTGAAAAAATGTATAGTGCAATTTAAAAAATTCTCATCTCATTGGTCAAAGAATGAAGGTAAACAAAAAAAAGGAAACAAATTTGGCACATGAAATCAATGCTATTCCCACACCGACCTATCGTATTTTGCGGCTTGACGGTTATTAAGAAGCAGACGTCATGCTTTCTGAGGTTCTCCCACTCAGATTTGATTTCTTTTCTCACGTTGAGGTTGACGGTAATTTCAGCGCGCACGCGGGGCGATCTTCTCTCGCATATGTGCGGCTGGATGACCTCCACCACCGCGAACTGCGTAATCGGCTGTGCCATTCGCGCCCAGCCGCCAAAGTACACTTCACCATCCTCGGCTCGCCTGTTTCAACAAAATTACAAAATAAGAAAAACTCGTTGTGTTTTGAAAGCTAACGTCACTCGTGATAAAAGAGTAAGCAGACGTAACTCACCAGGGGCTGAGTCGGCTAACCGCATCTTCGATATCCTGTCGGATCTCGTCTGTTCGGGAGAAAACAAAGAGATGAATCAATATAATTTTTTTTTCACCGGCTTAAAAAACCACGATTACAAAATAAACATGTTTTTCTGCAAACTTTGTTATGTTTTAAAATAAATTTCCAATTGGTTACGAAATTCTTGATTATATGCGTGCTTTTGTGAATTTAAATAATAACGAGGCAAACGGAAACGCGAATGAAATAAAGTCGCCGAAGAGTGTTTATTACCGATGATTCATTCTAGGTAATTTATGCGAATGTATTGGGTACGATATTTCTTACGCGATAAAGAGGCTACACTTTTTTTCCAACTCATGTTTTATTTACAATTGTAAAACGAGTGCATACTCCAGAAGAGATAATACAACAGAGCTCGAGAAACGTCTCACAAATGAAGCGAAGAAAGACTACTTTTTACACAATTCATCTCCGGCTGCATAATAATAGAGTCTCGAAAGCATTTGTTTTTTTTTTTGTGAGGGAAAAGAATTGTTAAAAAAAAAAAAAAAAAAAAAAAACGGAAGGACGTCAGAGCGGACTTTGCGAATCGTAATTATACAATTTGTGCGTCACTCACACGTGGACTCCAACCGGAACAGATTAAAGTTTCTGAGAAGATAATCGTGGAGCGTCAGGAACTGCAAATTAAGTTTGGGCAGGGCGAGACAACCCTCGCCCGAGAAGTACTCGGTGGGCACGATGCTCTCGTTCCAGATGATATCCTCTGTAGGGTAAAGCGGCATCACGTTCAACTTCTCCAGCTGCGACGCTCGCCTCTCGTGTCTCGATATCTGTTGTTTTGCTAGTAGTTAATTATCGATTCGATTCCGATAGAGTTTTGAGCGGCAAATTGTACTCACGAGCAACTCGCGCAGGAAGTCCATGTCCAGCCTGTACCAGTTCTCATAGCTCTCGCGCTCCTTCGGCGGTACCAGGTTCAAGTAGCTCGCGATAGCTTTCAGTTTCTCCTGGCTAAAAATAAAAATAAACCGCACGAGTGTCACAAAATTCGACATTTACACGCTGTATGCACAACCAATGGGTCTCACCTGAGGGGGCCAAAGTGATTGTTGAGGGAGTCCCGGGTGTCGACGCTGGCCACGTTTGCGAGCGCAAACGAACGTAGATCGGGGAATTTGGCGAACGCAGCTTTCTGCAGTGACGTTATTTTCGAGTAGTGGAGCTGCGTCATGTCGTGGTCGGTCAGGGGATCTCCGGTCTCTTCGCTAATCTCGAATCTGGCGTAGAACTTTAGCATCTCGAGCAACTGAAAATAAAAAAAATTTTAGTCCATGAGCATCTATATGCTTGATTGTTTTCTTTTCCTTTTATCAAGGAGATATGCGATGAATGGTACGTTTTTGGTAAAAAAACGCTGTTCTTCTTGCGAGAATATAATGTACATATACCATTTGTTTAAGATTTATTTATGAAACATTACATCGTGAACGAAAGTTGATTGAGAAATTTTACGTTTATTGTAGATCTAGGCTTTCAAAAATTGTGAATCGATCAATCACACAATCAACGACACCGACAGAACATAAACAATTATAATCGAAGGAGTTATTTACTTGAAAATTTCTGATAAATACATTTTTTCAGCCGATCGAGCGTCGATTAGAGAGTCAATGGATCGAAAAATTCCATACGATCGTAATATTTATAGAATAGCAGTGCCATTGCTTATACGAGGCTTTTAATAACACGAAAACCGTAATACATCGACAAACACAGTGGCGGTAGGTAATAACACTGTAAAAAAAGCATCAGTCAACCCGAGATTGCAGTAAAAATAAATATCTGATGAAAAAAAAATACCACCGGTGATTGTCGGTGGAGGAGGAATATCACTACCTATACAGTCCAAGATCGTCTATTAGCATCAATATCCATCACGGATAAGCGTGCGGCTGTTTTACGATGTTATCTGTTTGGAATCCTAATAACTCGCGCGGAAAATACGTTCGACGTGACATTATACCTGCGCGCGCAAAACAATGCCAGCTGGTAATCAAACGAAATGCTCTTTTGCAAATTTCTCTTCGTGCCTTCGAATAAATATAAATAAGCGCGTGTGTGGACGTGAGCAAAAAGTATACCTTTGCTTTTAAACGATTATAAAAGGAGTGGACGCCGAAGTAATTTGCGAATCGAATGCGCGCAAGAGTGGAATCGAGTTTATCGGCAATTGCAGTGCAAAACGCGCTACGTTTCGTCGCCGAGGCCTGAGTCATTAACGATTTATCGCTCTAACGATGAAAAACAAGATCTCCGGCTTTGGAAAAAAATGTACCGTACATTATTCATCGTAATCGCACCGCGTATAGGTACTTTGGGGTATTCTCCATTTTCAAGTACCAAATCGAAAGTACCCAACCGAAGCATCAGATCTAAGATGTTAATCATATTGCGACATCGCTTTTTACATGTATATATTATGTAATGAGTCTACACGTGTACGATAATAAACTTTTGCGGATTGGCGATAAAAAAGAGCATTGCGCGTAACTTGTGCTAATGCACTTAACAATTCAATATGCACCATTTGATAGACATTTTTCAATCTAGTTAGATTATCGCGAAAAATAAGAGATAATAAATACCGACGTGTATTCCTCCAATCTAAAATTTTTGTTGGAATGTGAAGGACATCGCAACCAATAACTCTTTATTTTGTTATACATAAGTCTTATAATAATTGTCGGATTAACTTTGATTTGAGAATTTTGCTGCTATTCTAATATCTATCATTATCATCATTTTGTTGTTAAAAATTTTTATAAAATTCACGATTATTTCGTTCCACCTACCGAAAACAGTTGAAAAAATCACCAAATTTGCGGCATACCGCGGTATATTTATTGTTTTCGACCGAAAAACAATGAAAATTGTTCAACTAAAAATACAAAGTAATTGCTTACAGTTGTTCGAGTCCCAAAGTATTTTATTGCATAAGCGATGGAAAAAAATAGCATTACGTAAAATATGTTATTAGCAAAAGGGTGGAAGTTGAAAAAAAAAAAAAAAAAAAAAAAAAAAAAAAAAAAAAAAAA